GCACAGCGCTCGGCCAGTGAGCACCGGCCATCCCTATATAAGATCCGAACCGTCGGCGGAAGCGCTGCCGCGCTCCCAGCGCCGCACTCTCCCGAGTGCGCCACGGGCTCGGCCCGTGTCTGTAGTTCTTGATACCACTTAATTTGGAATTTGAGTTTAGCTATTATTTGTGAACTTAAAAAAAGACTGATAGGTAGCTCCTTATTTGTTCTTTTCTCTTTCTCTGCAAACTTTTCTCCCAGAACTTTTATAGTAAACATGGATTAGTTGAGCAATTGCAATGAAAACAGGACTTCTGTTTGTGGTAGATTTAAGTGGTAAGATTTACATGGGTGTCTTTGCTTTCCTTATATTAATTTTCTGCAATGACTGTGGTTACTTTTTTTTCTTTAACACTTTTTATAGCAGAAAATTTCAAACATAAAATAGAGTAATAAACTTCCATATACCCATCACTCAGCCTCAACAATTATCATCACATGGCCTAACTTGTTTTATCTTCGTCCCTACTTGTCTTTCCCCTCTCCCCTCAGTTATTTTGAATCAAATCACAGATGTCGTATTGTTCTGTCTGTAAATATTTCAATAAAAATCTCTAAAAGATAAGAATTCTTTTTTAAAAACCACAATGTCATTATCACACCTAAAAATTATTAACAATTTCTTACTGTCATCAGATATCCATCCAATCAGTATTTGGATTTCCCTGTCTTTGTGATGTTTTTCCTTTTCTTATTTAGTGTGTTTATTTGAATCAAAGTGTGAATTAGGTCCAGACATGGGAATTGGTTGATGTGTTTCTTACATATCTTTTAACCTGTAGGTTCCATCTTACCCTCTTTTTTGTCCTGGGGTCATTTGTCCTATATAGTTTCCCACATCTGCTTTTACAGATTGGATTCCTGCAGAATCCATTGAGTATGTCCCACTCCCCTGTCATTCCTGCAAATTGGTTGTTGGACCCAGGGATTTGATCAGACTCAGGTTTGATTTTTTTTTTTTTTTTTTTGCCAAAACTATCTCATAGGTGGTGGTGCCTGTGTTTGTTGGGAGGCAAAAATGTCTGGTTGTGTCCCCTTTTATAACATTAGCAGCTTTTGATGGTCACTCCCTAGGGCCCTTAATTTATCATCACCTGTGCCTTCTTGTAGTTAATTTTGGCTGCCAGCGTTAGGTCCATAGCTGTATGGGCATGCTCCACCTACTGAAAGACATATTGTGAGTGGCAGATGTTACGGATCACAACTTCTGCAAGTGTACCAGGATAAAAAGTAATTAATTGTAACCACCAAAGCATTTTACTACACAAATAATTGTTTTAGGTCCTATAAAAACATAATGGAACATAGTTTCTCATTGCTGTTTCCACTGGTAACTTGAAGAGTATTGGATTAGTTTTTGGCCATCATACAATTAGTTATCAGATTGACATTATTTTCTAATTAATTGGAAAGTGCCCTAGACTTAGT